TTGAAAAACAAAGTCCATTATTTCAGTATTCGCATCAGAGATCCAACGGCAAATCTGCATTCCTAGAATTCCTAAAAGTTAACAGGAGGTGATTGAGTCTAATTATCATTGTGAATTGTGCAGTATCTACTTGATTCTTCAATGTTGTGTTATCGCCACACTCTTAAACAATATGGTTCAGTTTAAATCGAAACAGACTATTTGCCTTTTTGTGTTCATTAATACAGTTAATGGCCGTTAACTTAATAAATTGCTAATTAAACATGGCACTGATTTTATATAGATTCCTATTGCTAGAACTACAATAACAACTAGAGAAATAGGTATCTTTTTATTTCACTACGTTGTCTACGTTATGTTTTGTGCTGAAAAATTGTATAACATCATTGCATTATACAGGAGTTCTTAAACTTAATTATTCACCACGAATAGACCTGCAGATACAAGTTTAATCCACAAAAAGCCAATATTAGATCCTTTATTATTTTGATATGTTAATATATCGTGCATAAGTAACTTTGATCATCCTTCCAAAGAGTACAAAGGTGGTCTTCCTTTATGACAGTTGATTAACTATAAGTTGACAATAAATCTGTTACAAGCTTCTTGTACTTCCACTTGTTTCCCAGTTTTAGCACTCACCAAACCATTGAAAGAATTTCCCAGAGACCTCTTTGAAAGAAACACAGGAATTCAAATTATCAGTTTGCTGAAGTATAGATACATGTAAATAAACAAATGATAAGTCACCAAAGGCAAACAAATTGTGTTTTCACTTCCATACAACAAGACATCCTTAAATGTTCACTACAATGCACACTAACAGATGGCCACTAACAGCTTAAGCTGGATTGTGTTGGTAAGATGCCCCATGCAAGTGAGCCAGATTATTGTTTCACAAATTATGACCTTAAAATGGTTGTCAAACATGTAAACAATGTAAACTATGAAAACTGAGTAAACTAAGTAATATTGTATTTCACAAAATAAATGTAAAAACAATTTCTACAAGCCATAAAATTTGGAACTAAATGCTTTATTTGACACATGAAAATTAACAGAGGCAACAAATACAAAAAGCATCACACTGAACAATTTTTGTGTTTAAATATATGCCTTTATTTAGTTTTTATAAATTTATCAATACCTTTTTAAGTGAAGTAGTTGCATACATCACAGTCTCTATAGATGACCCACGGGTCAAAGCCATAACAACAAAAAAGCCACTATCCCTTGTCTTGTTAGAGGGATGAAACACCAGATCACACTGAGGAATGATGTTGAATGAGTTCCTCAGTGACTCGTGACTGAGGCGCTAGAAATAAATAGTAGAAAGTAATAAGTCTTTAGATTACACCATGACAGATAAAACAAAATTATAAATATTATTACTTCTTAATCACATAAATGAAGACACGAGGCCTTACATAAATTAGCATGAGGGTTTACCCATGCCAGTGCAATCACTCTATCTCTCAATGCCAGAAATAATTGATTTTCGTTACATGGCAGAACATGTGTCAACCTTATAAATCTCTATTTTCCAATTTATAACTCAATCCATACGCATACCTGAACGAAAAAGTAATGCTTAGCAATGTGCGTTTCACATTTTATGCAACCCTGGAGAGGCCTTTACCAAAATAAACCACAAATCCGTATGATTTGTGATTTTTGAAATGTTTCAAAGCGAAGTTAACATGGTCTCCAAACAAGACGTTCATGATTTAGAAAAGCTGAGTCATTTTGGTGCTCAGTCAAGGTGTCTAATCATTATGAATTAGTCAAACAATTTCACAAATTTGGTGAAGTAATGTCTGTTGACCAACTGTTATTTCCAGCACTGCAAACTTTCCAGACACCAACTAAATGCTCTAAACACTAGGAGACTCGTGGTGAGCAAGGCCATGCAACGACAGGTTTGTAATGGCAAATCTACACTAGCAGACAAAACAGGACTTGTCTGTGACAAACTCAAACCAAAAAAATTTGTCAATACTACTTTGCCTCTTTCTGTGTCTTCACACTTGAAACCATTTATACTCTACAGTCTGCCAAATCCGCCAACTAGGTTTCACAGAACAATCCAGACAATGTGCGTTTCCAGAAAATATCCATACTCCCCCCACAGAAGGGATTGGAATTTCCTGGGGGGTGAGGGGTTCTATGAGACCAAAAAATTTAAAGAAATGTATGACGCTTAACTGGAATTTCCAGAGGGGTGGGTAGGTGTTAGAAAAAATCCCTTCTGTGGGGGAGGTATGGATATTTTCTGGAACTACACAATCTTATTATAGATGCTTATTAATGGCTTTTGTAGTAAGGATTTTGTCCTGTTTTAACTCAGAAAATTGAATTATTTACTCGGCACCTTTGAAGATTTTGCTTTAAACAGTGCTTCTTTCTTGAATATGGTAGGTAAGCAAAATGAGATATATTTCTCTTATGGTGAAAAAAAATGTCTAACAAATAGTTAAAAAGTAAGCTAGCTAAGCAATACCATTGGGGCAGCCTTATCTAGGTGCCAGCCTGCAACATCTTTTATAGTAATCTCAACATCCTCTTTACTGGTAACAGAGAAGTCAAGGGATTCAATCGATGACATCATTTTCCCTCCTTTTTCATGCTCAATTGCCATCAACTTCTGTTAAATAAAAAAAGGCTTTACATAAATAACATTTGCATGCCATTGCCATTAAAAACCACATTTGTTCACGCAAAAATTAGACCCTTTAATAATAAAGCTTACTTAAAAAACAAGACCTGTATTGAATAAAGTCTTATTTTATAATCAACAACTTGTAAAACATACCTCAAATGACCATTCACAATCGTCAAAACAGTACAGCCTCATAACAAGATCTTCACCAACTCTTGTGTCAGTGCAGAATGCTGCAACCTTCATTCTCTTGAATACTGACAGAGAAGACTTATCAAACTTCCCAACAACTATAAATGTTGACAGATGATCTGTATTAAATCTTACATGGTTGCTTTTGCAGACAATATTCTTTATTCCTTGGCCTGTGAAACTTTCAGTTTGGCTTACAGTTACCCATCTATTGTTTTGGTACTCCTTCAGAATGATATTCCATTTTTGGCCAGTTAAAACCATGTTTGCACCATGAGGTACCCAGACTTCAAGTTGCCCATTCAACTTTGAGACACTTGAAATTAACTTTATTCCTGGGCTAAGTGGCAATTCATCCTCTTCTAGAAGGCCCGACTGTTCTGATTCAGAGCTTGCTTGTATGACCAAATCGTTTGGCACAGCACATTGGTCACTGGGTGTAAAGCTATCAGAACCAATGACTTCTACTCCTGTCTTTTCAAATACTACATGACCAGCACTATGTTGTACTGGATAGTCACACAACACATTCTTGTTGGCTATTGGAAAAACAGGAAATATTGGAAATATTGTTAAATATAAAATCAACATTTAATGATAACTCTATCTTTATATATTTCCCTTTTTGCGGTCTTGGACCGAGTCTATGCATATGTCTCATGCAGGACTGCACGAGCATGAGTAGAATGGTCAAGAGTTTAGGAACACTTGCATTATTATTCTAAGGTTCACAGTCACTAGAGCAGTCACAGCACAAGCCATTGCAAAAAGTCAAATACCAAAAACCCATAAACCATTGTTGAACTCCAAAACAATGTGCTATATACGAACTGTTACTTAGTTTGTCACAGGCCCCTGACTTTCATCAAGCTTCTGCACCAGCACCAGTGACTGAGTCAGATGATAGAACCTCTGAGCTACAGGAAGCTTTAAGCAAGTTAGGTCATTTACTTAATATGTGATATGAGACTTAATTAAACAACAAAAAACAATCTAGCCTCAAATACTACAGAAGAGAAAAACAGGTCTAACTGTGTCTGACACCTAGAGTTTGAGACACTAATATAAATTACTTATTCAGCATTTCAGTTGTATGATAGGTTATTTTAATTTGCAAGATGGTGTCATTTGACTAAACTACCAAAATGCTTCACTTTTTCTTTTTCTACTGCTACTACGGAAATTGTTACTTACTAACTACACTGCAGTTAAAAAGTGAAAAATGAAAATGAATTCTAGTAGCTGGAGTCAAATGATGACGTGGTGTTAGTCTTGTACCAAAAATTAAGGTAAGAGCATTACCAGTAAATAACAATTTAACTCACCTGGAGATGTAAGAGCTACGTCTGTAGGTTGAGTATCAAAATTCTTCAATGAACACTCCCTTTCTATTCCACAACTCTTTCTCTTTGGAGAGAAAATTACATATGCAAAGTATAGAACCAATACGCTAAAACCAAATGCTTGAATGGTCAAGTTGTCAAGACCCAGAGATTGCAGCATACTATGTTGTTCATTTTCTTGGCAAAATATAGTTGAAGACACTTGCTTAACCTTGGAAATAAAATGGAGTCAATGCAGTGAGACATCTTGATAGAAATTTAACCTGCTAGTATTTTGGTCCTTTAAAACTTGTAGACCACTATCCCTAAATGACTGACTGATCAGCAAGAAAATATAAAACAAACGGGTAATATGCTTATTATAAGAGCTCGTTACAGACCTTGTTAACAAAGTTATACAGTTAGATTTACAGCATAAATTTAGCGCTGTTAATGTCATGATCAAACTACACTAATTGATCTCTAGGCCAGAGAGATGTCTGTTGATGTCCAAGGACGGCCTTATATGCATAAGGTGATTGAATTTCTTGAAAACCACAGTTTTATTACACCATCTATACTACCATCTAAGGCATTATCAGGGTCAGGTATATATTGGATGTTATTGGTTGGGAAACCTGATAAATTATATACAGTAAACTAGTGGA